GGGTTGCCTTTTTTGGCCGCGTTGGCTAAGTACTGTACTTTGTGTCAGCGCCGGTATTCGACGAACAATGGTTTGTTCCCACTTCCCGTTCCTTTGCAGCCTCAACGGAATAAGTGGCCCAGCGATAACTTGCGCTCTAACCCATCTGTAGTTTCAATTTCTATTCGCATTGTCCCCAGAATTGTTTTTGTATCTTTCACTCCAGTCATCCAGTTTTCCTTAGAGAAATGAAACTAATTTTCAGTTAAGACACCTGCCTGCTAACATAATCCATGTGCAGTTCGTGCTCGACTTTTTCGACCTCATGGATTTGATGTTATGGAGATTTTCGAGTCCAAAATTGACGAGCTAGTATCGCTCCGCGATGGATACTTCGAAAAGTACCCAGATGGAACAGAAGCAGAAAGAGTAAAGACTGTCAGGGAAAAGGCTCTGCTTTTACTCGAGGTGTGTTTTTTTTTCTTCGTTGTCATCAGTTTGGATTAAAGTAGTAAAGCGAGCGTACACTTTCATATAGATATGTTTCCTTGTATCTTCTTTTGTTTTTACTTATTTCTCAGTATCTTAGGTTAATATAGATGATGGGATAGCACTTGGGATTGTGTAGGTCATATGATTTTATGTCCCAGTTTTATAGTTATAGTTTAGTAGTCAGTTATAGTTTTATTGTTGTAATCCGGATGGGATCCGTATCCGATCCGGATCACGAGCAACTGTAGCAGGCCATTAGGTCTGCAGATGTGTGCTGTGTAGCTGCAGATCTTACGCGCAAGTGCTGCCGGCAGTGCAAAAACAATATCGCCGTTACACTAGACTTTGGTAACGCTTATCTAGAGAGCTTTATAACTTTTGATAACAGGATGTACCACTATCGGAATTCCCTCGTTCTGCCGAACGCTATCTTCAGTGTGGTAGAATCCTCAACGCTTGTGTGGCATACGACCCGCGTTGCGAAGAGTTTCTCAGCAAAGCAGTGAAACTTGGTATGTCTAGTTGAATGAGTAGTGATTTTTCCTTACAACTGCCTTCAAGGTTTGCAGATCCAGATGCTCTAGCTTGGTTAGAACTCGGAATCTGTCTCTCCAAAAAACCTGATATACAGTTTGCGATAGAATGCGTCGAGGTAGTAATTGTCTTTCTAC